TACAACACAATATTTACCACACAATATTTACAACACAATATTTACCCCCACAATATTTGCCACAGGATATTTATCACTCAAAATTTACCTCACAATATTTACCACGTGATATTTACCGCACGATTTTACAACGTGATAGTTACCGCACGATTTTACCTCGCAATATATACCGCACAATATTTACAGCAAAATATTTACAACACAATATTTACCACACAATATTTACAAGACCATATTTACGACAATATTTACAAGACAATATTTACCACACAATATTTACAAGACTATATTTACGACAATATTTACAACACAATATGTCAGCCTTGATGCTTGTGCCTCGTCGCTTTTTTTCTTCGTTTTGAGCGTTTTTAATTGCGTTTATTTTGAACATAATTTTAACCTCGTCATTGAATAATTAAATACCCGACTTGAATTCGTGTAGCAAAAAAAGTTTCATCTACTAGTTTAATCGCGATGTTAACCTTTGTGGGACTTTTTATTATAGGTATATAAATTATATCTAAATTCGGTACGATTATATATATCGTTTGAAAATTCTTCAATCTGACAAGGGTATTTTTAAATGAGATTTTTTACATATATCACTTAGTTCTAATGTAATTATCACTTAATCACTAATAATATAATAAATTTCCATGCGCTTTCGTGCATATAGGATTATCGTACAGACATTATGAAGTTTACGAGGCTAAAATATTATGCACGCAGAGCCTGCATTGTTCCTGTCCCGCCCTGCGATGTTTACGTCAGCTTACAACTTCCCCATTTTTCTGGGCCCTTTAACGACCGCCACAAACTAAAAAAAAAATAAAATTTATCTTCCCTCGGACTCCCAGGAAGCCGCTGTAATTTACTCAAAAGTTTTTGTACACAGGAACAGTATATAGTGGCCGCCCGTGAACCTTTCAAATTCCAAGGTTTTTTTATTTCTAAGATTTCTTCGTTTGGGACGATCGTAAATAAGCTAGTGGCGTCAAGTGAAGCTATAATACCAAATGTGCGCCGATTGATAAGAATCTCCAAGAAATCGCATCTAAATATATTAGAAAATTTCTTCGGAGTGTAGGTACTGTTTTATTAGAGAATCCAACTCCTGGGCTGTTCTGTAGTTCTATAGAAGTAACTTGAGCGACTATGGGTCCGGAACAGGTTGTTATCTACGAACGTCCAAACCGAAAAAACTTCAGAAATAATAGCGAAACATGTCCACTCAAATTAAAGTTTACCGGCTTCATTAATCCCTAAAAATATTCTACTAGGTCTTCTTCGCCTCTGTATTTCAGAATCGCATTTCAGGACCCAATATACCAAATGTATCCGCAAATTAGCGGTGTAGCCACGGGCAGTCCTCTCGGCCCAACAATCGCTGAATTTTACATGTGAACTCGGAAACTGGTGCTGTAGATGCACTGTTCAAGCCTGAGCTTTAATTTAATGCTTTTGCCTGAGCTTTTTAGCGCATTTTCTTATTTATGGAAAAAATGCACTATTGTTTTTAATGTTGACATCTTCGTCGTCGTTCGGGACGCCCTAGTTTAAATAAGTTAATTCTACCATCCAATACCAATAAGACTATTGCGGTTACTTGAACTAGTTTTGATTGTACGGCCCCAGCTTAGTTCAGTTTGTAAATTTAAAATTTTACACAGTCATTCACTCTTCTGACATGCATTCACAACTCCAAATACAATCACAATGGCCAAAATACAATGTTTCATGGCTTTACTTGATTGGTCGTGAATGACTTCTGTTTTTTTAGATGAACATCATAGTTTATAAATTAAAATTTCTTTAGTTCGCTGCACAATTTCTTATTTGTTAATCTGTTAGTTTATTTGTTAATCTGTAACCGTTCTTCCTTGTCGTTTTTTAACTTTTAATTAAGGCGGTAAGTAATAATGTCGGTTGAGTTACTCACTTCCGCTTGCGTATATCTGCTACGCACTGTTTAAGGGCCACGATATTGACGTACGAATGCATGGCAAGCGTTTGTTCTGCGCCCGCATTTACGCACTGATTTGATATACGCGCCGGATCTGCAGTCTAAGAGAAGATAAGTCGTCAATGAGAAGATAAATAGTCAAGGAGAAGATACATCGTCAAAAAGAAGATAAATGGTCAAAGAGAACTTAGAAGATAAATAGTCAAAGAGAATATAAATATCAGAGAGGTGCCACTAACGCTTCTACATGCGTGCCATTCTCGCTAATGCGTGCGCGCTGTTGGATCAAGCAGCGGGGCGCTCATAATTCGACACTGAGAGAAATGAGTGAGATTTCGTCCACATACCGAAGTGCCCTCGTCCTCGTGTATGTAATCTTGACTCGGTTTAGCCCGGCAGAAGCGCGTATCAGTGCTATGTTTGCTCTCTTCTCGCGCTGTCTGTGAAACTCATTATTTGAACAATATGAACCTACGATTTTTCCGAGCGAAGGCTATTCGTTGCTTACCGTGGCCATTCATTTTAACGTTTTCCTTTTATTCCATCTTAACCTACAATAAAACTAATTTTAATGTTATTAACCCAGTTACAGAATGTTAACACCCTCCGCGAATGTTGCTATTACATATGGTTATTTTCTTCTTGTTTTCGGTTCTTCTCACTGTCCGTGTAAAGCTACAGTCTCCCATACATAACTACAGCTGTAACAACGCTGCGATTGCTGTACTGATACATCTCACGCTATCGGAGAAGTTTTGATCAAGATCTCACAGCCGTACAGAGTTTTTATTTATTTAAGCAATGCTGAATGTGTTGAATACGCGCTACGAAGGTGCAGCTGTATAACGCGCTACGAAGGTGCAGCTGTATAACGCGCTACGAAGGTGCAGCTGTATAACGCGCTACGAAGGTGCAGCTGTATAACGCGCTACGAAGGTTCAGCTGTATAACGCGCTACGAAGGTGCAGCTGTATAACGCGCTACGAAGGTGCTGCTGTATAACGCTACGAAGGTGCAGCTGTAAGCGCCTGGTCGATGCAGGAGCTGCGGTCGATGTATCGCTGCACTGGTGCCTTACTTGACCTCAGCTGCTGCGTGACTGTCCCTCTGTTCTTACCCTCTGTTCTTACCCTCTGTTCTTAGCCTCTGTTCTTAGCCTCTGTTCTTACCCTCTGTTCTTACTGCCATTAACATCTGTTATTACCCTCTGTTCTTACCCTCTGTTCTTATTGCCATTAACATCTGTTCTTACCCTCTGTTCTTAACCTCTGTTCTCTCCCTCTGTTCTTACCCTCTGTTCCTACTGCCATTAACATCTGTTCTTACCCTCTGTTCTTACTGCCATTAACATCTGTTCTTACCCTCTGTTCTTACTGCCATTAACATCTGTTTTTACCCTCTGTTCTTACCCTCTGTTCTTACTCTCTGTTCCTACCCTCTCTTATTACCCTCTTTTCATACTCTCTGTTGTTACCCTCTTTTTTTACCCTCTGTTCTTAACCTCTGTTCTCACCCTCTGTTCTTTCCCTCTGTTCTTACCCTCTGTTTTTACCTCTGTTCTTACCTCTGTTTTTACTCTGTTTTTACCCTTTGTTCGTACTCTGTTTTTATCCTCTGTTCGTGCCCTCTGTTCTCACCCACTGTATTTATCCTCTATTCTTACCCTTTATTTTACCCTCTGTTCTTACTCTCTGTCTGTACCCTCTGTTCTCACCCTCTATTTTACCCTATTTTCTTACCCTCTGTCCATATCCTCTGTTCTCACCCTCTGTTCCTACAATCTGTTCTCACCCTCTGTATTTACTCTCTCTTTTTACCCTCTGTTCTTACCCTCGGTATAAGAGACCGTACAGGCACCAGTATTCGTATGTACAGGCACCATGACGTCGTTTGTTCATTACATCGGTCAGTTTAATAAATGACACGAGACCATTAATTTATTATTGCACATTGAGCAGGAGCATTTTGTGGCTAGCCGTGATAATTTAGCAATTGAGTAGCTTGAGAGGAAGATGCTCATATGACAGCTTACTTCTTCTTACCACGAAACTTGCTTTTGTTGACACAATGAGAGCGATTTTGTAATAAACTGGCCTCTGTAAACTTGTAAACATTTTCAATGCTATTTCTACCAAAGATTCTTGTAAATATAGTTACTGCTTGTAATAGATTGGCCACGGTAAACTTGTAAACATTTTCAATGCTATTTCTACCAAAGATTCTTGTAAATATAGTTACTGCTTGTAATAGATTGGCCACAGTAAACTTGTAAACATTTTCAATGCTATTTCTACCAAAGATTCTTGTGAATATAGTTACTGCCTATTGACCGCACGAGCGCTGTTTATTTCCGATGAACACCGGCGTCATACACTGGAGATTCTACATGCAATGGATGAAACTGTATTCAACCGCAGGAAATAGATTTTGGATGTACGATAACTAGTCCTATTATTGTTACTGTCAAAATAATGAACGAAATATATTTTTTAATGTTATCATGATTGTGATGCGCTCAGTTGTGTACTTCGATGCACCATCAGGGCCAACTGTGTGATGCTAAGATGTGCGCACGCAACTTTATTGCCTTCATGTTTTATTCAGAACCTGAACATGAGACGACTCAGGGGGCTAAGATGCACTGCGAACCTCACGAAAATCAATGAATTTCCATAATAAACAGGCGTCTTATATCATTACTCACGTGTCATGTCACGATGATGATAGCAGGATATGGCTCTATTCTTAACCCTAGTGTATGAAAAAAGGAAGAAATATTTCCTAATATTTAATAATATTAGGAAATAATTTTGTGTGTAATAATATACGAAACAAATATTGTTGGGAAATCTTAACAAAATCGTGAAAAATATTAACCCAACTGTGAGAAAATAACGACCCGACTGTGAGGATAGTAACCCATCTGTGAGGAAATATTTAGGGGAAATATTCAATCCCTGTATGACTAAATATTGCAAGAAACCATTACCCTCAGTTTGAGTTAATATTGTGCTAAAATCTTGTCATTTTTTTACAGGCCCAGAACGACGATGACGACATGGGGCCTGATGACGTCACCGTCAACGTTGAAGGAAACGTCGGCTACATGGACGACTTCTTCAACGAGGTGAGTTCTTGTTGGGTCTCTTGTAGGGGCCATATATAGTACTGTCTGCCCTTACGTCAGTAGATGCGTGTACGTAACTTGTCAGCGGGGGCCGTATATACTGTCATATGTAGATACGCCAATCACTGACGACTTCTCAAGCTCAACCCACCAATTATACACGGAAAATCAACCGCTACGGGTAGTTGGGCCGCTACGTGTACTTAACCGCTACGTGTACTTAACCGCTACGTTTACTTAACAGCTACGTGTACTGGGGCCGCTACGTGTACTTAGGTCGTGTACTTAACCGCTACTTGTATTTGGGCCGCTACGCTTACTCAGGCCGCTACATTTCCTTAAGCTGCTATGTGTACATAGGCAGCTACGTGTACTTAGGCCGCTTCGCATACTTAAGCCGCAATGTGTACTTAGGCCGCTACGCACTTAGGCCGCTTCGCGTACTTAAGCCGCTATGGTACATAGGCCGCTGCGTGTACTTAGGCCGCTATGTATACATTGGCCGCTACGTGTACTTAGGCCGCTTCACATACTTAAGCCGCTGGCTATGTGTACTTAGGCCGCTACGTGTACTCGTCTCAATATCGTGTCTAGAGCAATAACTTGTCTCTAGAAATGACTGGTCTGGAGCAATAACTTGTCTCTAGAAATATCGTGTCTAGAGCAATAACTTGTCTCTAGAAATGACTGGTCTAGAGCAATAACTTGTCGCTAGAAGTATCGTGTCTACAGCAATAACTTGTCTCTAGAAATATCGTTCTAGAGCAATAACTTGTCTCTAGAAATATCGTTCTAGAGCAATTAACTTGTCTCTAGAAGTATCGTATCTAGAGCAATAACTTGTCTCTAGAAGTATCGTATCTAGAGCAAAAACTTATTAAAATCACTTGACTGCTTAAATCGCAAGTTTATCAAAAATTTAAAAGCAAAGAAAATAGCCAGAAAATTCACCATTTCTTAAAAAGGAAAACGTTTCGGAGACCAGCTCCATCATCAGTTCAAAACCTAAAACACAGGTACAAATAATTAGCAATAAATTCACATTGATGCATAAATCGTCAAATGAGAAACAAACAAGAATGAAGCAAACACGGGCACAAATCTATCTATTTACAATTTCGAGGGGATATGAACTATTAGCGGCATTTAAAATAGGCTTTTGTTTAAAAATATAAAGGGACTCTAGAATTCGCAAGTCGGAAACACCGGTCGTGGAGGCTAAAATTCGAAAATCACTATCGGACACTGGCACGTTGCACTGCTCGGCATGGACGCGTACTGCTGAATGAGGGGGATGCGCGAGCAGGTTTCCTGTTCTAAAACTCCTTCCTTTATGCTCCGCCAGCCTAGTATAAAAGTTGCGAGATGTCATACCGACATACGCAGATGCGCATAGCGCACAACTATATTGATAAACTAGGGATCTAGAGCAAAAACTTGTCTATAGAAGTATCGTATCCAGAGCCTAGCAGTTACTTGTCTCTAGATCCCCTATGGCCTCATGGCGCGCGTGGGCGACAATCTCATTGCAGGAACTCGCGTCATGAAGTCTGGGTTCGTTAGCTCCACCGAAATAGCCTTTGCACGCTTATTTTTTGCTCCTAAAGTAGGAATTTTGTTTTTGGATCTTTTCTCCAATAATGGTAGCAACATTTTCTGAAACAATACTCCGTTCGAAACCGTATATTATGACCGTGCGAGACCGTATATATCATGTACCGGTATCATGTTTTTATAGAGAAAACTAAAAAGATGTTTTCGACAAATTATTTTTACTATTTATTATTATTATTATTATTATTAAAATAATTCAAAATGATTTTTATATCATATAAATAACCTCTCAACAGTATTTGAAAAGAAAAAGTTTTGGCTCGAGTTGTTATTTTTAATCTTCTGAGTCAAGTTCTTGTTCTCCAGGCAAATAACTTGAAATCAATGTTGATTACGAATTGAGACCGCGTTTAAAACCAGCTTGATAACGAGTTGATGTTGTTGAAAAACCAGTGTTTAATCAACGTTATTTCACCGTCATGTGTAATGGATGCGAACGAACCTTGAGCAGCAAATACCGGTAGAGGAGATGATGAGGCTGCATGGGCCGGGGATGCGTTGGTGTGTCGCCCGCGCTGTGGGGGGTTGTGGGGTCAAAGGTCAGGGCTGATGAGGTGACATACCTGCCTTTAAGTCGCCGCCGCGGCCTGTCTTTATGTCGCCAAAGTCTGCCTTTAAGTCGCCGCCACGGCCTGCCTTTAAGTCGCCGTCACGGCCTGCCTTTAAGTCGCCGTCACGGCTTGCCTTTAAGTCGCCGTCACGGCCTGCCTTTAAGTCGCCGTCACGGCCTGCCTTTAAGTCGCCGCCACGGCCTGCCTTTAAGTCGCCGTCACGGCCTGCCTTTAAGTCGCCGCCACGGCCTGCCTTTAAGTCGCCGTCACGGCCTGCCTTTAAGTTGCCGCCACGGCCTGCCCTTAAGTCGCCACGTCATGTGTCTCATCGCTCCGTTCACTCACAAAAATGAACGAGACATTGCATGTCCAGAAGCGATGCACTTCGTACTTGTGTGGGTCATCCTCACCCATTTTGGCCCGCCATAAGAGCGTATGAGTGCTACGTGCAGAAAGTGTCATGGCTTGTACAATGATCCATTGATTTTTTAGAGGTTTTCTATACGTAGACCGAACAGCACAGTGCACTGCATAGCACAGCACAGTACACTATATTCCTCAGTACAGTGAACAGCAATATAAAGCTCAGCTCAGTGGCACTATAATAACCACACAGTGCACTGCACTGCACTGCATTGCACTGCACTGCACTGCACTGCACTGCACTGCACTGTGGGTGCAGCCTCCGCGGCGCCGTGCACAGCGTGGGCCTTTAAAGGGGCCAGACACATCAGCCCCCTCTCCCCTCCATCTCCACCCCTTCCTACCCCCTCCTTCCTCTCCTTACCCTTCCGCCCCTCGTCCTGTCTCCCCACCTCTCCCCTCCACTCTTCCTCTCATCTTTCCACCCTTCAACTCTCCACCCCTCCATCTCTCTCCCCTCACTGTTTATCTTTCCCTCCTACCCACGGTGCACTGATACGCCCCTCCGCCCTCCCCTATGTGCACGTCACATCTTTTCATTCATTTGATCTCAATTTCCTCCTATCCTACATACCTACTGGCAATGGGTGATTCATGCCTTCTACACTCTGTATTCTGGTCCCTATATATTCGTCCCTGTATACTGGACCCTGTTACTGGTCCCTGTATACTGTGACGGACCACAGATAAGATGTGTGACGGGTGTCCACTTGATTACTCGTATCACGAGACAAGATAAGCATGAGTCACCGCCGATCTCTTATCTCCCTGACGAACTGTTGTGTTTGGCTGCGGCATTGTATTCTACTGATGGATGCATGCCGTATAAGTGAATGACGTTGAAATGACGTTGACTAGGATAATTAAATAACGTTTAAATAACGTTGATTAAGTGTTGATTTCATTGAAACTGCTTCATTTATACGACGTTATTTCAGCGTTTTATGCCTGGTGGTTTTATTTCTTTCCTCTATAAGCTGTGTATTGTATTGCTCTCCGCTCTCGACGCGGTGTAAATACAAGCTCTCTTTGTATTTACACGTGCAGAGAACTGAGTGGGGCTTTGTCCAAATACCGATGCACTTTTTTTGTCCTATTTTGTGTGGGTTTTGCAGACGCATTTTTTCCTGGCAAAATGGCGTATAAGTGCTACGTCCGCTCCCTGCTGGCGATTTTAGTAGGGAAGTGTGTCACTATTTGGACATTATGGCCTACTATTGAATGTTGAGTGTAGCTGTCAGGTACAGGAGAACGCTTGCTGTGCGCGCCACAATAGGTTACACTCCTAAATTTTCTTCACATGTATTGTTTCTGTCACTATTTACTATATTCACTATTTTATGTTGTCACTATTTACCTTAGTATATTCACTATTTTATGTTGTCACTATTTACTGTACTTGTTCACTATTTTATGTATTTAATATTTACTACCTATACGGTATTCAATATTTTATGCTGTCACTATTTACTATATTCAATATTTTAAGTTTACTTTTGTAAGTTTGGGATCTCAATTTACAAAAGTTCAATGCAATGTAGGATATGTGGCTCACGACCACGGATAAAATCCTAGCTCATCTTTCTACCTAACCTTCAACATGAATGCTTGCTTGGCAAGTTCTTGAATTTTTATAATTTTTATATTCAGTACCACCGGTATAAATGTATATTTTTTAACAGTGAAATCTCTCACAATAAAGTAAGCTTTTAACAACCAAAGCTGTAGGGAACAGGAGCAGAGTATTCCTCGCCTCTTCATTATATCAGTTTACCATGGAAAAGATGATGAGTCAGCTTTTCTTGTCGTGGTCTTCTGTTATGTATTTATTCAGTTATTTTGAGCAATCTTCATGCAGAGAAAAGAATGTGTCATATTGTCGAAATAATGGCACACATTCTTGCCCGTAGTATAAGCTGACATAGGTGGTTTTCACTTGATAAACTGGGTCAGGATGACACACACACAAGGGCGCAATGTGCATTTCTATTTGGACAAAATCCCGCTCATTTCTCTGAGTATTGCAACGCTATCCATACTCTGCTTGCTTTCGGAAAATAAAACTTTTTGATTGAATTTTTAGAAGAAAAATTAAAAAAAGAACCTACGGATTTTGCCTCCCAGGTTTACGTTACTCCAACTTGACCCACTTTATTCCTTGAGTGTTAGGGATGTAACAGTCCCAGGCCACGCTGGAGATTTTGAAATTTGTGTATTATGTCACTATAATTGAGTTGTACACTTCGATATCTTGATTTACGGTAAATTTACATGATGCTTGCTAAGATAACGAGAAATCTGCATATTATTTATTTTAATACCTACTCTATAAATGCGTTTTATTTCTGGTGCAAAGTACTGGCAATTAACATCATGCGAAACATAAATATATCGCTTGATGAACTTCTCAAGATATTACGTATTAAAATAGAATTTATAATAATAAAAGTACCTACTAATTATCTCTCGGCAAATTGCGGTTGATCGTTATCGCTCTGCTCTCCCTTGCCACGACCTGTTCTCTGTACTTCTCACTCATTCTACTCTCTTTGAAGCCCATATGCACTCTCTCTAGTATCCCGGCACTCTTTCTCCGTTGCTTTCTCTCTTTCTACTCTCTCTCAAGCCACAAAGACACTTCCCCTCTCGCCTCCCCCTTTCCTCATCTGCTCTCTCTCTGTCTCTGCTCTCTCAGTCTCTGCTCTCTCTGACCCTGAAAGCCTGGAAGCTGTCATGGCCGCTTCTCTCATCTCTCTCTGGCCGCTATTATTAGCCTGCGTTTGGTCACAAATATCCTGCTTGCGGCTGTCCTTTTGCAAACGCCGCATCGATGCGAGCGCACTCAAAAAAATTAATGCCTCATATTGTCCAAATGACGCTTCCCTCCATGCTGCGCGTAGCTTTGATGCACGCATATGCGGCGCCAAACTGTGTCAGGATGACCCATGTAGGGCGGAAAAGTGGAGTACTATTAGAGCAATTGGACAATGCATTTCAAGTAGCAAAGCTCAGGCAGTATAAATTTTGTATTTATGTTAAGCTAACCGAGATATAATTAATGATATATAATTACGTAATGTATAATTAATAAAGGGATAAAAATAATATATAATTTTAGCGGAAAGCTGTAGCCTGGGGTTCAGAATTTCAGGATATTACGGTGCTGCATTAATTGTGGTTTTAGGTAGAAGTTGATATTGTTTAATTTAAGAGAAAGTCTTATTATATGACGGACGAAATATGTTCGGCAACGAAATGCTTGACCACGCCGAGATTGAGCTCTCGACGCTGTTTTGCTATTAGCCTGAAAATGCCTACTTATGTTTCTTGTTGTTTCGATAACGATAACGTAGGTTTACGAGGGTAGTATAATTTTATTGCTATGATATTGTTTTTGTTACCTTCTCACAATGGGCATTTGGGTAATTAATTACATTGAAAATTGCGGTATGTAGTAGATTACGATCATGACGATTCTCACGTATTGTTTGCATTTCTTAGAAACGAAAGACTTTATTTTATTTCTATAGGTAGCCAAATTTTTACCCAGCCATAATTATTTGTCCGGTTCTGTCTAAAAAACATCTGGCTATGTTACGGTATCGCTCTGATTGTTCATTCATAAATATATGTAAATGTATTATTTACATGAACCTTGTTATGAACATCATCGGACGATGTTGCTTATGAAATATGTTATAATGTATTTACATGAACTATGTTATGAACATTATGAGGTACGTATTGTTAACTATGAGATAGTAAATACGGTATATTAACATGAATCTCGTGTCTGTATATACCTACATGAACCATTACTTCTACATCATCGGACGATGTTGATTATGAAACATGCTACCTAATGTATTTACACAACTATGTTATGAACATCATGAGGTGTTGTTGTCTTTGAAATATTAGACATATTAACATGAATCTCGTGTCTCAGGTGGAAGAGATAAGGGAGATGATCGAGAAGATACAGAGCAACGTGGAGGAGGTTAAAAAGAAGCACAGCGACATCCTCTCTGCGCCCCAACCTGATGAGAGTGAGATTACCTGCACTGCTTCACTGATCCTCTGTTGCACTGACATCCTGCTTCACTTACCGTACCTTCTATTTCACTTACCCTCTGTTTCACTTCCCTAAGTTTCACTTGCCCTCTGTTTCACTAACCCTCTGTTTCATTTGCCCTCTGTTTCACTAACCCTCTGTTTCATTTGCCCTCTGTTTCACTTCCCCTCTGTTTCACTAACACTCTGCTACTATTGCCTTCTGCTTCATTTACAACTGTTTCACTTCCTTCTATTTTCACTTCCCTCTTATCCTCTGTTTCACTTTCATGTGGCTCTTTCATTTCCCTCTAACTCTCTGTTTCACTTCTCTCTTCCCATCTGTTTCACTTCTTCCTATTTCGCTTTCCTTTTGCCCTCTGCTTAGCTTCTTTCAGTTTCACGTATCTCTTTCCCTCTGTTCCACTTCCCTCTTGCCCTCGTTGTTACTTCCCTCTTGCCCTCTGTTTCACTTCCCTCTTATTCTCAAGAGGGCAAGAGGGAAGGCTGAAGCTCTCGAGTTGATCATTAAATTGAATTTAATTGTGAGACAATTTGTTGAAATGTAGGCTAAATTGCTAACACTTCTAGCAATTCTTCTGAAACGAGTGTGTGTGTGTGTGTGTGGGTAAAAATTCATGATAATTTTTATTGTAATTGACGTTTAATGCTTAATGTCTTTGCTTGTGCAGAGACGAAGCAAGATCTCGACGATATGATGACTGATATTAAGAAGACGGCAAACAGAGTCAGAGCCAAGCTAAAAGGTGGGTCATGCTGAAATGTGGGTCATGCTAAAATGTGGGTCATGCTAAAATGTGGGTCATGCTAAAATGTGGGTCATGCTAAAAGGTGGGTCATGCTGAAATGTGGGTCATGCTAAAAGGTGGGTTACGCTAGCAAGCTAAAAGGTGGGTCATGCTAGCCAAGCTAAAAGGTGGGTCATGCTGAAATATGGGTCATGCTAAAAGGTGGGTCATGCTAAAAGGTGGGTCACGCTAGCAAGCTAAAAGGTGGGTCATGCTAGCCAAGCTAAAAGGTGGGTCATGCTGAAATGTGGGTCATGCTAGCCAAGCTAAAAGGTGGGTCACGCTAGCCAAGCTAAAAGGTGGGTCACGCTAACCAAGCTGATATCATGACAACGTGTAGCTGTATGTGAGTATGAATAAATCCTTTTTCACGAGCAAACATTATTAGAATGTTACAAATAACTAAGAAATAATTCAGACTAGTGAAAGCTCGTATGAAACTTCGTTTTAATACACGCCATATGTTAGTGAAAAATGATTATATGATATTTACCTACATATGATGTTCATGAAAAAATACCTAGTTTTAGCTCAGCATTGATAGTTGTACAATTATAGTAAAAAAATGATTATATGATACTTATTTCTGATGTTCATGAAAAAATAGTTCTAGCTCTGCATTGATAGTTGTAGTATTATAGTAAATGCTTCAATTAATTTAATTCAGCGCAGCAGTCATTGGTAAACATGATGATAATACAGGCGTGTTGTGAGCAGTGATCGTTAAATTTGATAATAACTATGAGGATTTGTGACAAATTGTGAGCAATAATATTAAATATGATAGTAATTATGAGATTTTTGAGCAGTGATCGAGCAGAGCATCGAGTCGGACGAGCACGTGAACAAAGCGAGCGCAGACCTGCGTATCAAGAAGACGCAGCACTCGACGCTGAGTCGCAAGTTCGTGGAGGTCATGACGGAGTATAACCGCACCCAGACCGACTACAGGGAGCGCTGCAAGGGCAGGATACAGCGGCAACTCGAGATAAGTCAGTGTACTGGGGGTGTAAGTCAGTGTACTGGTCGTATAAGTCAGAGTCTTGGTCGTACATATAAGTCAGTGTCTTGGTCGTATAGTCAGTGTCTTAGTTTTTCGATGTCTAATTTATACTGCATCGCAGTTATTCTATAGTTGACACTGAAGGATATCTAGTAAATACTTTTCATCCTGCTCCATCTCCATGCTTGTGGCAAGGAACTATGATGAACTTTTGCTATTTTCCTGTATTATGAATATTTTTTACTTCAATCAATAATAATTTATTAGCATTGCTAATGTAAATAATATATAAATATTATTTATTATAAATATTCCTATTTTTAGTTTGGTATTTATTAAGGTTATTTTGTTCGATTCTAAATCTAGTCCATTTATGTGGTTCATCATTGATTTTGTAATAAGTTAGTGTAAGGTTTATTTTTCATTATACCTATATTATATTTAAATGTAAATTTCTATATTGGTTAGCGAAGATAAAAGCTGTATTTTTATTAATGTAGAGGGTAAATTTGGTAATATTTAGTTGTGTTGCAGCGGGACGCAACACGACCAGCGACGAGCTGGAGGACATGCTGGAGCAGGGCAACCCTGCCGTCTTCACC